AGCGTTGTCCACTACGATATCCATGCCTACCTCCAACCCCAGTCAGCAGGACGTGGCAGATATGCACCTGACCTTCCTGTAATGTTTGCGTGTTGGTTTAAGGCTGCCTGTGTCTGTCTTGAAAAGAGATGCTGTCTCGCGTTTATCTGACTGACGTTCCCAGTCATGCATAAGAATGACAAACCACTCAAGGAACTGCATTGTATTGTCAGATATATTGCTGGGGCATCTGCTAGTGACAGGAATGATTGGTGACTTCACTGATATACATCCCAAGACTGTGTAAGCAGTCCTAATCAGCACCATTTCGTGCCCACCATGTGAAGCAGCAGATATGTGCAATACAAGACTACCATGTACAAGACTGGCAAGAAGCTTTGTCAGTTACTTGGCACAAGTGATGATGGTTTGATTATTCTCCATAGACCACGTTTTTCTCTAGTGAATGCTTTAAGGCTGTCTGTTTAGGTGTCCCAAACAATGTCCAGCCTGTCCTGGTGTTCAAGATACAGGGAGATGTATGGCAGAAATACACTCTGGATATAGTCTTGAAATATTATGGATGTTCTTGGGTGAAGCATCTGCACAATCATGTCGCCATCAAGTATCACTGCAGAAACTTCTGGAGTAGCATCTGGTGGCTCTGCTTGTAGATGTTGTACAAGAGGATCTGCTTTGCTACGAGGTATAATTTCACCCACCAATAAAGGAGGCCATTGTTGATTTTCATGCTCGATGAAATCTGTATGTCTCCTCGTCTTCATAGGAGGAAGAGCCTTCCGTCTTGAAAACAGTGGCAACTTGTTCTCCGTTATTGGTTCCTATATTGGTTTTGATCTGTCAATGAACCTTTCTTTTACAAAACTCTCATATTGAATTGAATTGTTGAATCATTCTAGACACTTTTGGTCCTGCAACCACCCATCCTAATGGGTTTTCTGTCAGCTCAACTGCACCTCCATCTACTTTCACACTTGTTCATGAGCCTCATCTAGTGTCATGGAAGAGAACGGTCGTTAGTTTTATGTGCTACAGGTCTACCAGAACAAAATTTGTGGTACAGTGCTGAGTGTTCCACTGATATGGAAGACATGTTCCTTCTGAGAACTGAAAGCCATCGTGCATAGATGACATGATCTAACATAAAGACCCATTCTATTAATATTTTGACAAGTGATGCTAAATACTTTGGGAAATCTGCTTTTCGAATTGCTCCAACCAGGCACAATATGCAAAGCTCAAGTTAAAGAACAAGGGTTCAATACTGAAACTGGGATTGAGAAGCTGACTTTGCATCACACCAGCTTCTAAAAGTCAAAATGTCTTCTTTTTTTGGTTCTGTTTCCTGATAGTGAGCATATGCCTGGTGTTGTAGTGGGAAGAGTGTAGCAATGTGGGTACACTTGATAAAGGAATCAGCAGCCCCGCTTGAGGCAAACCCAGCTACGCAAATTGGTGTTGTTCATCCACTTCCTTCAAGCCAGTCTTCAAGGATCCTGAACTCATACAGTGGTTGATCCATGGTAAGCACAGGTAGCTGAGCTGTGTGTAAATGCTCAACAGCTTTTTTACCACATTCATTGAATGTTGTATCATAGCAACAGAGTGTTCACATTCACGAAATAGTGGCATAAGGGCAATTTTTGTTGGAGGGTCTGTTTCCCATGACAGGAAATCATCATTGCCCATCTCTTGTTTTCCCAGTAGTCCTTTCATGTGTTCTCACACCCATGATCAAGTGTTGTGTTAACACCACAAAGGTGTGTAAAAGTTCCTTTAAAGGCGCACAAAATGATAACACAAAATTGGGGCACACTGGTACAGACTAACGGCAGCTTGACAGTGATCTTCCTATTTCTCCAATGAGTTGAATTTTATCTTAGATTGTTCAAGGGAGATAATTCCAATACTAATTGCAAAGGAACTGATTGCATTTAAAGCGACCATACACATATGTGTATACATTAACAGAATATATTTTAAACTTCATAGCTATAAAACAATAAACATTGTGGAACACAATTAAATGGATCAATAATGTATTCATCATGTTAATCAGGTGTTAATTATTTTATAAATAACAAAAGGTATAATTCTAAATGTACAAGGAAAATCATTTTGGTATTAATAGCTAGAACATTCAGTAATGCATAACAAGGATTTTTTTAAATCCTAAATTGAATTGACAAATAATACTGATATTGTGTACAAACAAAATTATAGCCATAATCGCCCCAGTAGAGATGGTGCATTTTAAATACCTGCATCAGAATCGTGTTACCTCCAACAGATCGACATCGTGAAACACTTCACCTGCATCACTTTTGTCTAACGTCCTACAGTTCGACACCGTGAAACTCTCCACCTGCATCACTTTGTTCTGTAGCCTTCATAAGTTCGACATTGTAAAACACTTCACCTGCATCACTTTGTTGTGTAGCCTTCATAAGCTCGACATTGTGAAACTCTTCACCTGCATCACTTTGTTCTGTAGCCTTCATAAGCTCGACATTGTGAAACTCTTTACCTGCATCAATTTGTTCTGTAGCCTTCATAAGCTCGACATTGTGAAACTCTTTACCTGCATGACTTTGGTCTAACCTCTTACAGTTCTACATTTTGAAATTCGTCGCCTAAATCACTAAGGTCTAACCTACTACATGTACAGTAGTTCGACATTGTCGAACGTTTGGTCTAACCTCCAATAGTTTGACATTGTGAAACTCGTCACCTGCATCACTTTGCTCTAACCTCCAAAAGTTCGACATCGTGAAAAGATTCACATGCATCAATTTGGTACAACCTCAAATAGTGTGACATCGTGAAACACTTCACCTGCATCACTTTGGTCTAACCTCCAACAGTGTCAACATCGTGAAACACTTCACTTGCATCACTTTGGTTTAACTTCCTTCAGTTCAACATCGTGAAACACTTCACTTGCATCACTTTGGTCTAACCTCCTACAGTTCGACATCGCGAAATATTTCACTTGCATCACTATGGTCTAACCTCCTACAGTTCGACATCGTGAAACACTTCACTTGCATCACTTTTGTCTAACCTCCTACAGTTCGACATCGTGAAACACTTCACCTGCATCACTTTAGTCTAACCTCCAACAGTGTCAACATCGTGAAACACTTCACTTGCATCACTTTGGTCTAACCTCCTACAGTTCGACATTGTGAAACACTTCACTTGCATCACTTTGGTATAACCTCCAAAAGTGTCAACATCGTGAAACACTTCACCTGCATCACTTTGGTCTAACCTCCAACAGTGTCAACATCGTGAAACACTTCACTTGCATCACTTTGGTTTAACTTCCTTCAGTTCAACATCGTGAAACACTTCACTTGCATCACTTTGGTCTAACCTCCTACAGTTCGACATCGCGAAATATTTCACTTGCATCACTATGGTCTAACCTCCTACAGTTCGACATCGTGAAACACTTCACTTGCATCACTTTTGTCTAACCTCCTACAGTTCGACATCGTGAAACACTTCACCTGCATCACTTTAGTCTAACCTCCTACAGTTCGACATCATGAAACACTTCACTTGCATCACTTTTGTCTAACCTCCTACAGTTCGACATTGTGAAACACTTCACTTGCATCACTTTGGTCTAACATCTCCAATCAGTTCGACATCACAGACATATTGAAACACTTAACTTGCATCACTATGGACTAACCTCCTACAGTTCGACATCGTGAAACACTTCACCTGCATCACTTTGGTCTAACCTCCTACAGTTCGACACCGTGAAACACTTCACTTGCATCTCTTTGGTCTAACCCCCTACAGTTCGACATCATGAAACACTTCACTTGCATCTCTTTGGTCTAACCCCCTACAGTTCGACATCGTGAAACACTTCACTTGCATCCCTTTGGTCTAACCTCCTACAGTTCGACATCATGAAACACTTCTCTTGCATCACTTTGGTGTAACCTCTAACAGTTCGACATCGTGAAACACTTCACTTGCATCACTTTGGTCTAACCTCCAACATTTTCGACATCATGAAACACTTCACTTGCATCACTTTGGTCTAACCTCCTACAGTTCGACATTATGAAACAATTCACCTGCATCACTTTGGTCTAACCTCCAATATATTGACTTTGAGAAAACTTTCAGCTGCATCACGTTGGTCTAACCTCCAATATATCAACTTTGTGAAACTCTTCACCTACATCGCTTTGGTCTAACCTCCTACAGTTCGACATCGTGAAACAATTCACCTTCATCACGTTGGTCTAACCTCCAATATATCAACTTTGTGAAACTCTTCACCTACATCGCTTTGGTCTAACCTCTTACAGTTCGACATCGTGAAACAATTCACCTTCATCACGTTGGTCTAACCTAAAGGGGTGTAGTGTAGTGTGGTGTGGTGTGGTGTGGTGTGGTGTGGTGTGGTGTGGTGTGGTGTGGTGTGGTGTGGTGTGGTGTGGTGTGGTGTGGTGTGGTGTGGTGTGGTGTGGTGTGGTGTCGTGTGTTTAAAAGTAAATGATTAACTGCAGCCGTTGTTAGTTCTTTATGTAACGATACCATCACTGGGAGTGAGTGAGTTAAATTGTAGTCCACTTTTAGAGATATTCCAGCAATATCACGGCAAGGGACACCAGGAATAGTCTTCACACATTGTAGCCATGTGGGGAATCGAACCTGGGTCTTCGGTGTGACGAGCGAACGCTTGATCCACAAGGCTACCCTACCGCCCCTATACTATCACTGTGTCGCCTTACATCAGGCATAACTATCTGCATTTCAATTTGTTGTAGATGAACGAGTAGCCATAGAATAATGAACAATTGCAATACATCAAAAGGTTCGATCAATCGGTACAGTTGTTCCAGTTTTCGTGAATATAAATGTTGCATATTAAATAACAGTCGTGATCAGGGAGTCGAAACTTCGGAAAAAACACACTGACATGGATGATCTTATTTGCAATGTTACGTATTGATTGTTTTTTACTTCAGACCATGCCTGCATTTTTAAGTGATTATAAGAACCCATGTTGGAAGGAAGCACCGGGTCCGTCGTCTTACTGTAGACTTTTAGCTCCAAAGAAAAGACATTCGCCAGTTCGAGCCACTCCAGTTCTGCGCTGCTTGCCGTACTTTATTTTCATTGGTCAACCCAAATGTGGCACAACTGGCATATACCATCGTCTTGGAAAACACCCGGATGTGACTCTACCTAACAATAAGGAACCTTTCTGGTTCAACAGGAAGCGGTTTTGTGAGTTTCACATGTGATGATGCAAAAATTATTATGCAATTAGTACTGGTACCCAACAAACATCTATTGTACTACATGTCTGGAAGGTTAGAATTGGTCTTCAGTAATCCATGCTTGGCTTAAAAGGCGGCTAACGGGATCGGGTGGTCAGGCTCGCTGATTTGGTTGACCCATGTGAACGTATCCCAATCGCGTAGATCGATACTCATTCTGTTGCTCACTGGATTGTCTGGTCCAGACTCGATTATTTACAGTCCGCCATCATAAAGTTGGAATATTGCTGAGTGTCAATGGGTGAGCAATGGTCGTTCTGTTTTCTTGAGAACTAAGCATGCAGTGTAAGTGTAGAACACGGAGTGATAAATATTTCAGTTGTAAAATGGATATTATTATTGCATCTTAGAGAAAGTAAAAGCCATCATTGCATTGAATAGAGAGTGGCATGTCAAGTATAATTTAGTTCCGGATAATGGTTTTCTCATTAATAGAAGTTCAACCGATCGTTGACAACTTTTTCAAAAACCCGTTTTGTCTTTTGAAAGCAACAAAAAAAAAAAAAAAAAAAAAAAAAATAAACAGAAAAGGTACTCCGACCGGTAGTCAAGTATACAGTCTGCAAGACGGCTGTGAAGATGCATATTTGGCGTTACCGCTCCGCTTCCATATAAACGTTGAAATTCCCGACAAAATGACATGGGTTCTTCGTGTCCCTGTCTCAACTGAAAGGAGCAATAGCAGTTGCCATAGCTCGTGGCAGGTTTCCACAATGAGACACACAACACAAAGTATTTCCCAAATGTAACCATGTGATTAGATATATGTATCGTCCAAGGCCCATATGATTACCTCTGAAATGTAGGGTTCATTTGGCCGCCAAAGTTACCTTGGTTTCGAAGGTCATGACCAGATTTTACTCTTTTGAATGCTCGGTCATGGGTAAATTGATTATTAACACATTGACAGAAAATAGCATTTATTGAAATGGTTCGTTAGCGTGCAACATTCCCGTTAGTTACGTTATGCGGTAACAGGTAACCTATGGCATGGACTACCATATCAACTGGGAATACACCATGACTATTAAGAACAATAGATACAAATTGATATGAAGGAACTGTTGCTTGGTTATGATGACGTGACTGACTCATCATTCTTGGATGAGCAAAGAAAGATAGAATTATATATTTAAGAGGTTTCTGTTATGTTTTCATGTGATGTTAATCATAGTCCAACAGTATATCCGATCCATCAGCAACATCCGTCATTTAATAACCGCAGAAGCTGAAAAGGTACTTGTCCGTGGTCTAATAACATCAAGACCTCCACTGGTTGCCAGTAAAAGCTAGAATAGAGTTCAAGCTTCTCTGTATCACCTATCGATGCCTGCATAACACCAGCCCTGACTATCTGTCTGAACTCTTGACTCCATACACTCCAGCACGTAAACTCCGATGAAACTCCTCGAAGCTCCTAAACATCGACTGAAAACATTTGGCTCCAGATCCTTCTCCGGCACTGCCCCTATCCTCTGGAACTCACTTCCATCAGAGTTGAAATTGTGTCCAACCTTTGAGAAATTCAATGAAGACTAAAGACCCATATGTTCTCCAAGTACCATAGTGACATTTAGTCAGCACTGACTTTTATCTTTATACAATCCCCTTGTGGCGCCTTGAGCAGGCATATCTATCTGGATTGCGCGCATTATATGTACGTTAATAAATATTATCTTTGGATTTTTTCTTTCCAAAATGATGTTACAAATATCATAACAGCAGTGACACTATTAGTGACACATCATTAAGCTTGCATAATTTATGTTGTGTATATTCAGAAAAAAATATTATGTTATGTATACCCAAAAATTCAAAAATAATCCCCCAAAATTAAACAAACAATGGGTTGTTGTTATTTTCTTTATTTAATGTCGCACGCACAACTAAGGTATTTCGGCGACGGTAAACAATGGGTACATTTGTGCGTTTTAAATACAATTTCAATTTGACACTGGGCGATTTCAGTTGAGTAAATGTACTTAAAATATCAAAGGTTGCGATGTTTTCACGCTAAATTGGGATGCCCTTTCCAATCACTGTCGGCACAGTAGATGTATTTGGTTGAAACATATTTTTATTTCGTCAAAGAAACCTGGATAGGCGAACAAGCCTGGTGGCTTATACAAACGCCGCTCCAGTACATTGTTCCATTAGTTGGATACATAATTGAAATAATTTACCGTATAAAGTAGTTTTCACATCGTATCCTTGAATATAAAAATACATCGTTGTTCTTAAATTTTGATAGTTCCGACATAATAGAAGGTGCATTTACCATCTAAACATTCTGCAATCCAATTATCTAATAACAAACTAGTTTTCCCCCATTAGATTTTAGTTGGTGCCGTTTTCGCCATAAGATTTGTAGCCGTTTTCGCCAAGTCGAGGTTCCGTTATATCCAAATGGTGCCGTTTTCGCCAAGTGCCGTTTTGCTGTGGTGACGTTTTAGCCTGAACCCAAACATTATGACGACCATCTTAGTTCTATTATTTCTGAGAAACCTTTCTTTACACGTGCTATATATCATTTGATTAATGACGCCTAGTATAAATGAAAGATATTAAATATGTAATAATTATCAACTCCTGAAAGACTTAGCAGAATCATGTTTAGGGACACTTGTTTAGGAAACCAATCACCTACTAACAGACACAGCAAAAATAACAAGGTTTCCAGATTTCCGGAAACCTACATGAAACTGGGTAATGCCAGAATCATGTAGGTTTCCGCTTTCGGTAACTATGATTGTTTGTTTCCGGCAGTTTCCTGTTGCTGAAACTAACACGGAATATAGAATTGTCGGAAACAAACAAGGTTAGTTTCCAGAAATGGAAACTGACAGTAAAGTATCATTGTTAGTTTCCATTGCATAAAGCAACTGGAAACCATCATTGATGGTTTCTATTAGTGAGAACTTGAATGAAACGATCGTAGAAAATAAATTTGACTCCATATGCATATATCCATAAACCTACATTAACCTACGTTAAACTGCCTATGTATCAATAGGTTTTAGTTTCGTGATGTCAGTGTTTCTGTACATCAGAATTCAAATAAAAGATATTGTCACATAAAATAAAATTTATTTCAGGAAAACGGAAACCTAATTGAAAGAATATGGAACCTGAAGATTCTTTACGTTTTGTTTGGTACACTTACGGAAAACTTAAATTTATAAGAGATTGATGGTACATTTAAAAGCTATTTAAGCAGTGTAAATCAAATATAGTTTGCAACGACCACAAAAGTAGCGGATGATTTGGCCTATTTTCAGTGTACCATGGTTTCCCTTTTGGTTTTTGTGTGAACCATATGTTATCGATTTTATTCGTTTGATTAGTTACAGATACCTGTGGTGAGACAGACATCCATTACCATAGCTATTTCACAGCAAGTCGTATGTCTGCAAATTTGGCAGTTGCGAATGAGATTACATATAGTCATTGAAGACAGCGGTGTTTATCCAGTTATCTAGAATATCTATGATAAACATTAGCAAAGTATTTTGAGGTAGGTTTCTGTCATAATCTAGTTTCACATAGTATTTATACTTTTACCTCATAATCCTAGCATAATTAATTATTATTATATTTATATGCGCTTTGACACCTCTAAGAGATTTGCACGATCTGTTTTCAGTGAATTTTTAAAATGACTTTAATTTCTAGATATGTTAAAGTATAAGTGAATCATATTTCACACACATTTGTCTGTCTCGCCTAGAAGAACTTCACAGCGAAACGTTTGAAGGGGAATGATTTTGTTGAATGCTACAACAAACATAAGAAGAAAATACAGATAACCAAGTAACGTTATAGCAAAACTATTAGGCTATTACCTTGTGGGTTGTAGTCAAAAGGGCCAAAGGACAAAAAGGACAAAATTGAAAAAGTCAAAAGGGCCAAAGGAAAGTCAAAAGGGCCATAGGTGAAACGAGAACATGAAAACTAATATATACAGTATATATTGTATATTTTTTATTATGTTAATATTTATTATTATTATTTGTATCAATATGTAAATAGTAACAAAAGTAATCATTTATAGTGTGACCATCATACACTCGATAGTTGATATTTGATTAAATATTTATGTAATCATTACACAAACAGTTGTATGGTTGACTATACTCATAGCATAAACACGTTTAAAACCACTACTGTTATCTTGTTTTGATTACTGACTACTTGTAATCATTACACAAACAGTTGTATGGTTGACTATACTCATAGAATAAACACGTTTAAAGCCACTACTGTTAATCTTGTTTTGATTACTGACTACTTGTAATTATTACACAAACAGTTGTATGATATAAAGTAAATAATTAACCACTCTGAGATTTTTTAAATAAACAACACTGAGACACCTCTGATATGTTTAGAATGTTTAAGATTAGAACTACTGCAACAACATGTAGTGAATTTCTGTTAATCTTAATATTTTCTAAAAGTTTGGCCCTTTTGACTTAAGTCTATGGCCCGTTTGACTTTCCTTTGGCCCTTTTGACTTTTTCAATTTTGGCCCTTTTGGCCTTTGGCCCTTTTTAGCCTGTTCTCTTACCTTGTTCGAGGAATGTATCCATCAATATCCACATAAAGGAACGATATGCCATTCATCTGCAGCTGACAAAAAACTGCTCCATGTCTAATAGTTACATAATGTCCAGAATTCTTTTTTAAAAAACAATGAGCGATCAACGTATTGTCTATTAATTCTTGAAGGAAGGTCGTTGTGTTTACACGACAGAATGTGGGTGTATTCAGTATAGGTTAGTAACTCTACAAACATAAACCCTACCTTTTGACATATCCGTTGGGCAAGATAAACGTAATAAATCAATTAGCGTGCTATCGTGTAATCCTTTCATCTGTGTTTTTTTTTTTAACTCAGTTGATAATTCCTTTTGCTGCACCTCCATGCATGTATTACATAATATGAAA